TGAGCGCAACAGCCAATACTATGCCAATCCGAAGCCAGGAGCCTCTTCGGGGTCTCCCGTGCAGGTGCAGGGTCCCAAAGCTTTGGGCCGTCCTTGACTGCTTTCCCAGGCCACAGGCAGGGAGCTGGAGGGAAGCGGGGCTGCCGGGATTAGAACCGGCGCCCATATGGGATCCCAGGCGTGCAAGGCGAGGACCTTAACCACTTGCGCCACCGCGCCGGGCCCAAGGGTTAATTTTTTAAAAGCCTTATTTATTGCACTTGAACGTCAGAGTTACAGAGACAGAGACAGAAAGATCTTCCGTCCGATGGCTTACTCCCCAAGTGGCCTCAACAGCTATAGCTAGGCTGATCTGAAGCCAGGAGCCAGGAGCTTCTTCTGGGTCTCCCACATGGGTGCAGCGTCCTAAGGCTTTTGGCCATCCTCTATTGCTTTCCCAGGACACAAGCAGGGAGCTGGAAGGGAAGTAGAGCAGCTGGGATACGAACCAGTGCCCATATGGGATCCTACAACACTTGAAGGTAGAGAATTAGCCAACTGAGACACAGTGCCGGCCTCCATTATTTAGGGTTTTACAGTAACATCAAATAAAATGAAATTCTTTTTTAATTTTTATTTATTTGTATTGGAAAAGTCAGATATACAGAGAGGAGGAGAGACAGAGAGCAAGATCTTCCATCTGATAGTTCACTCCCCAAGTGGCCGCAATGGCTGGAGTGGAACCAATCTGAAGCCAGGAGCCAGGAGCTTCTTCCGCGTCTCCCACACGGGTACAGGGTCCCAAGGCTTTGGGCCGTCCTTGACTGCTTTCCCAGGCCACAAGCAGGGAGCTGAATGGGAAGCGGGGCTGCCAGGATTAGAACCAGCGCCCACATGGGATCCGAGAGTGTGCAAGACAAGGACTTTAACCACTACGATTTGCACTGGCCCCCCCCTTTTTTAATTTTTACTTATTTTACAAATAAAATGAAATTCTAATGTGACTAAAATGAGATGCAAGCTCTTGGAAGACTGCATCAAAGAGCTACTGTGTCTATGGTCTACTCCTGGCGTGTTCTCTGCTCACTGGAGCAGGGTACCTGCCTGCTGTATGCCCAGTTCCTGGGCAGTGCTGTACACTCCAAGGGAGGCTCTGTCTTGACCAGGCGCTCTCAGTGCACAAAGCAACTGGCTGCAAGTCCCATCCAATACCAGGCTCGGTGTGGGCCCGGAGCTGGGTGCATCTGGGAAGCACTGGAGGGAGATGGTGCAGGGCAAGAGTCAGAGGCCAGGAAGTGCGAGCAGCAGACCGTGGCCTTGGGAACCAGGACGTCCTGCTGGAGCTGGCTCTCGCCAACAATTCCACCTGACACCTTGGGGTCATCTGCATCTCCGGGAGAAGCTCACAGACCTGGCCTCCCAGGAGCGGGGTCAGCGTGGTCCGACTGGAGGGTTGGCCCTTGCGAATGGACTGTGAGTCTTGGAGACCCAGGAGTCATTGCAGACTAGCACCTGGGGCATCTGGGAAACCTGTACGCAGCAGTGGCACTGGACAGGGCTGGCCAGGAGCCTCCTCCTGCGGCTCCACCATCTGCTCGGCTTCTAACACGGGTGTGAGCCCACGTCTCACAGATTGCACGCAAACAGGCATGGACTCAGACACAGTCACCTGGCCATCTTGACTGTGGCCAAAGGAGTGCAATTGTTACATCTCCACTAGAACAAAACATTTATTATGACAAACATTTTCTTGCCAGCCTGAACTTGACACTTGAAAGTAACAGTACAGAAACATTTTTCAATCTTTAATAAGTCATAAAACTTTCTAGCAATATTCTGCAACTCAACTCCTATAGAAAACTCCAGCCTATGTAAGCTGTAACCCATTGCTACACACACACACACACACACACACACACACCAAGAACCAGTGTTGTGGCATGAGGGAAAGCTGCTACCCTCTAAAACTCCAGAGCCATCACTGGGGACTTGGGCTTGGGTGGGATTGGTCACCCAGTGAGGCCTGGCCACTCGTGGCCAAAACCAGTGAAGACACAAACTGAGGCACCTGTGGCAGTAGGCAGGGCCCAGCAGGCTAGGGGCAGGGCCGAGGGGAGGCTCTGGCCAATGGGGAAGCAGCACAGGCTGTAGTGGAAGGATGCCAAACCAGGTAGGTGGTGGGGGAGTGGGGTGGACCTTCTAATTTTTCCAGAAAAAAACAAAATCCAGCTTTTTTTTTAAGATTTACTTTTTGGGGGCCTGGCGCAGTAGCCTAGTGGCCAAAGTCCTCACCCTGCATGCACTGGGATCCATATGGGCACCAGTTCATTTCCCTGCTGCTCCATTTCCCATCCAACTCCCTGCTTATGGCTTGGGAAAGTGGTCAAGGACAGCCTGAAGCCTTGGGACCCTGCATCTGTGTGGCAGACCTGGAAGAACCTTCTGACTCCTGGCTTCGGATTGGCTCAGTTCTAGCCGTTATTGCCACTTGGGAAGTGAATCAGTGGATGGACAATCTTTCTGTTTCTCCTTCTCTCTGTAAATCTGATTTTCCAATAAAAATAAAAATCTTCCATGGCCAGCACTGAACTGATCTGAACCCTCTTCCGGGTCTCCTGTGTGGGTGTGGGTCCTGCTCTGAACTGGCATCCTGCCAGGGCAGCTCATGCTGCTTCCCCATTGGCCAGAGCCTCCCCTCGGCCCCGCCCCCAGCCTGCCCACATAGGATCCCGGCACACACAAGGTGAGCCACTGAGCCATTGCGCTGGACCCAGAAATCTAGCTTTTAAAAAATTTGAATATCGGGCCCGGCGCGGTGGCGCAGTGGTTAAGGTCCTCGCCTTGCACGCCCGGGATCCCATATGGGCGCCGGTTCTATCCCGGCAGCCCCACTTCCCTTCCAGCTCCCTGCCTGTGGCCTGGGAAAGCAGTCGAGGACAGCCAAAGCCTTGGGACCCTGCACCCGCGTGGGAGACCCGGAAGAGGAAGAGGCTCCTGGCTTTGGATCGGCATAGTATCGGCTGTTGCGCTCACTTGGGGAGTGAATCATCGGAGGGAAGATCTTCCTCTCTGTGTCTCCTCTCTGTATATCCGCCTTTCCAATAAAAAAAATAATAAAAATAAATCTTTTTTAAAAAATTGAATATCTATTCTTAAGTAATAATTAATTCTGAAAATGGCTTAAAAATGCCCGGTGGGATAAAAACAGCACATCTATACCCCTATACGGTGCCTGATGGTGAGCTACAGGCAATCCCAACAGGCTCAGGCCTGAGCATCTGCTTGCCTGGGCAGTCACTCATCTTCCTGCTGCCTGGCACGGCTCGGGCGGCTGGTGAAGCTGCTGCACAGCGAGTGAGCGTGCAGATCCTTTGGGTCCAAATCCTGGCTCCTGCACTTACCACCATCCCACAGGACTGACCACACTGGGGCCAGTGTCATTGGCCCAACTGGCTAATCCTCCACCTCCAAGCATGGCATCCTGTATAAGTGCTGGTTTGGGTTTTGAATGCCCCGTTTCCCATCCAGCTCCCTGCTTGTGGCCTGGGAAAGCAGAAGAAGATGGACCAAAGCCTTGGGACCCTGTACTGATGTGGCAGACCCCAAAGAGGCTACTGGCTTTGGATCAGCTGAGCTCTGGCCACCATGGTCACTTGGGGAGTGAACCACCAGATAGAAGAACTCTATCTCTTCCTTTCCAACAAAAATAAATAAATCTTAAAAGGAAACAAAAGAGTGACCACCCTGGCTTCAACTTCCTCGCCCACAGCCTGCAGGTAACAACGCAGCCCAGCCCCAAGGGCTTCTGCGGGACTGAAGGAGCTGAGCTCATGCCCAGCCCTGTCACCTACTTGGGGAGTGAACCAGTGGATGGGAGATCTTTCCAAATACATTAAGTGAGACGAAAGCATTTGATGAGAGGTCAGCTGGTGCCATCGAGTCACTTTCCTGCTTCAGGTACTGGCTGACTCACCACATCTCCCGGGTCAGAGGCAGACTCAGTACACCAGCCGCGCCTGATTGATAAGTTATCTATGGAAAACACAGACCCTAGGGTGTCATTCTCCTGGTCACTGTAGAGAATGCAGTCTCCATTCAAGGCTCTGCCCAGGCTGTCTTCCGGCCCTCCCCACACTCACAATATTTATAATTTTCTCTTTGCCTCTCTCTCGCCTCTTCCTGCACAAGACACACAATGACCTGGCATTGGGCCTTGGTGGTGCCATTCTCTCCGCTTACTAAATGTTGTCTTCCAGGTCCACCTGCCACTTGAGGCTCTGTCACCTGTGTAAACCCACTGTGAACTTTCCCCACAAGGTTTCTCTTAGCCTCTGCCACGCCGAGCTTAGGTCCCTCCTCCATCGCTCCACCTCACTGGGTGCCCAGAACCCTCTAATCTGCTCTAGGGTGGGGCCATCTGTCCGCTGAGGACTCTGTCTCAGCAGGAGATGGGAGGCTGGTGGGCAGAGGAGGGCAAGACTCTGGCCCTCCATTTTTCCTTGCATCCCCAGCTGGTATGCAGTGAGCACTGAAGGCTTGCAGAATCAATTACTGAGGAAATTCTAAGAGAGATCAAAACATAAGATCACTTTTAACACATCCTACTGCCAGAAACGGGGCTCTTTCATAAAAACTCCGATTCTTGGAGTAGACAACTGTGGTGTGTGGGTTATACCACCAGCTGGGACACCTGCATCCCATATTCAAGTACTGACACGGGGGCGGTGCACAGGACAGCCCAGGATGGTCCAGGGGCTTGGGTCTCTGTCTTCCTGGAAGACTTGCATGGAGTTCCTGGCTCCTGGAGGGAGCTAGGTTCTGTCCCAGCCGTCAGGCCTTTAGGGAGTGACCCACTCTCCCACTTATCTCTCACTTCCTCTCTCCCCTGTACCACGTGACGCTACCTGCCGCGAGGGCCACCAGGCCATCACCAGACACAAACAAGTGTTCAGCGCTTCCTGGCAACAAGCTAAATTAACTCCCCCCCAAAAAAATCACACAAAGTCACTCACAAGTCCCCAGTCTGCCAGAGTGGGTGTGTTTTAGTTCATTTTAGTAGGCGACGATATTGCTTATAGCTCCAGCCACCTAGACCATTGAAAATCTGCACTTCCGAGGCGGCAGACACGGTTACCACGCCTGGATGTTCACCTGCCTCCATGGCCGCCGTGGCCTGACCATGGCATCTCGGCTGAGCAGAGTACCTCTGCTGCTTTGGCTCCCACTTGGTGAACTGTGGGCAGTATGGTTCCCCACAGCTGCCAAGCAGCCAGGTTGGGGGCCACCAGGGGCCGGTACCAATCCCTCAGCTCTCAGAGTGCCACAAGAGGCTGGGCAGGATGATCTTGGGAAAGCAGAGATCTGGAGAAAGAAAACAAGCCTCATTGTGGGGTGTTTTGTTTTCACATTTGCATTCTTAGCAAATTCGCTGCAGAGGCGTTATTCCCTTGGGAGGCAGGGGCTGGGGGAATGGCAGGGTGTTCCACAGCCTCGCCCCGTGGCCTGAGTTCCAGGCAGGCTCAGGACCAATGCAGTCCCGCTCAGGGGTCTCCCCTGTGGCTCCTGGGTCAGGCTCACTGTGGGCTCAGGCTGACGTGGGGGCTTCTAGCTGCTAGAGCTGACAGAGCAACATGCAATCTCCCAGTGCTGCCGGAAGGACCTAGCACATGTACATTGCTTGGCTTTGCTGGGGTGGGGTGGTGGAAGCTGATTCTCTTCCCTGCAGAGCCAGGATCCCACATGGGTGCTGATATCTGTCCTGGATGCTCCACTTCCCATCCAGCTCCCTGCTTGTGGCCTGGGAAAGCAGTCGAGGACGGCCCAAAGACATGGGACCCTGCACCCGTGTGGGAGACCTGGAGGAAGTTCCTGGCTTTGGACTAGCTCAGCTCTGGCCATTAGGTCACTTGGGGAGTGAATCATCGGACGGAGGATCTTCCTCTCTGTCTCTCCTCCTCTCTGTATATCTGACTTTGTAATAAAAATATATTTTTTAAAAAATTCAAACATTAAAAAAAATGCAAGAACTCAGTAAACATGAGCAAGCAAGACAGATCCCGCTCGGAGGCGTGGGCAATCCGAGCCTCTCCCCACAGCTAGTCCCGGCCCCCCACGCCCTGGTGCACCCAACATCTGCCTCAGGGTCTACCCGTGGAATCAGAATTCTTACAGAGGGACCAACAGCGTGTGCAGGTGGCTTCCGGCCAGTGAATCAGAAACAGCAGAGACAGGGAACGGAGCTGCTCCCACAGCAGTCTGGCAGAGTCCCAGCTCCCGCCTGACGGCCGACCCAGACTGCATCGACCCAGACCACATCGCAGGCAGAAGGCACCATGTCTCAGCAAACCTGCAGGAAAACTGCCAAGTATCAGGGGTCTGAGACTTGAGATGGTGTGAGATAGTCTGAGAAAAAGTAAATTATTACAGAAATTTCTAAAAGTTTAAAGATTTATTTGAAAGGCAGAATTAGAGGCAGAGAGCAGAAGAGAAGAGACAGAGAGAGGGAGAGGGATCTTCCATCAGCTGGTTCACTCCCTAATGGCTGTCACAGTTGGTGCTGTCTCAGGTCAGGGTCAGGAGCCTGGAACTCCATTTGGGTTTCTCATGGAGCTGGCGGGGACCCAAGCGCTTGGGTAGTTTTCCGTTGTTATCCCAGGTGCATGAACACGGTGCTAGTTAGCAAGTGGAGCAAGCAGGACTTGAACTGGTGCTCAGTTATGATGACAGCCATTGCAGGAGGCAGCTCAGTGCTGGCCCCTGTTACAGCCAGTTTTCAATAGATATCAAATTGTATCGAGATCAGTAAAGTTGCTGAAATGTGATGCATGGATTCAAAAATTTAAAAAAAAATGTAATGAGAAACACAAAGAGAAAGGGAGAGAGAGAAATTAGAAACAGAGAGGAGGAGAAGACAGATAAACTGAGAAAGAAAACTCCCATTGCTGCTTCCCTCCCCAGGTGCACTCAGGAGCTAGAGCTGGGCCAGGGCTGAAGCTGGCAGCCAGAACTCCACCCAGGCATCCAACATGGGAGGCAGGAAATCATCTGCCTGGGCATCACTGTGACCTCCCAAGACCTGCATTTCTAGGAACAGGTGAGCTGGGGTCAGGAGCCAGGGCTGAACCAGGCCCAGGCACTCCCCTGTGCGGGGCAAGGCCAGAGACCTACCCTCTAACTCTCCTTTCAGTCCCACTTCCCACAAACTCTTCGCAGTGTCCTCATCTACACCGTGTGCTGGTGAGACTGCAGCAGGCCACCACACAGACACACATCGCTGTCTTCGTGAAACTGATCTGCTTTCAGGGACAACTAGATACTGACCATACTGGAAAACTGGAGAAGCCACGGCCTCTAACCCGATTTCAGTCTGAAGTGTAGGCACAACAGTGAGATAAGAAATCAGAGTGAGCCAGCGGATGGAAGATCTTTGTCTCTCCTCCTCTCTGTAAATCTGCCTTTCCTACAACATAACCAATAAAAATATATATATACAGAAAAAAAATCTGCCTTTCCACTGAAAATAAATATTTTTTTAAAAAAGAAAGAAAAAAACAAATCACATGGCCTGGCTTTCAGGGCCCTCCACCCAGCATCAGGCTGCTCCGTCACACTGCTTCCTGCTCACTGGGACGTAGCTGGGGGCTCCCCCCACCTCCCAGGACACCACAGCAGCTTTTAGGGTAGTCCAGGGGACCCACATCTTCCACCCAACCATATAATTTGCCCATTTCCAGGAATATTCACAGGTCTTGGAGTGCAAGGCACTCCTATGTCCATCACACAGGCCAGGAAAACAGGGAGCCAGCAGCCAGGAGCAGAGGCTTGCTTTGTTCTGCATGGTTTAAGACAGAAGGAATTGCAGCACAGGATAGTAACTCCTTCAGTAAGGTCCGCTAGACACTATAAGAGCAGTAAGGGTCCTGCGGGCGGCTACTTTACCATGTGAACCTCCCAATGAACGGGAAAATTCATTAGCAAAAGCACAGGGTCCCCTCTGGGGATGAATGAGGGCTGCTCTGAGAGTGCCATGACGAGGCTGAGACTTCCAAATGTGGCAGATGGGATGCACACGTGCGCTCATGTCCTTTCGGTGCTAGGGAACGAAACGATAGAAAAACACACAGACGGGGTGGGGGCCCAGGACTGGTGGGGCGGTGAGGGCTCTGAGAGCCCACAAGCTGCGAGAGACGGAGTGGAACTCACCCAGCAGAAGGCAGGAACCTCAGAAAGTCCATAGTATCTCCCCTCTTAGCCCCCAAACAGCCAAGAACCGGAGGGCCAGGGAGCTCCGAGGGAAGCAGCCGGGAGTGGCTTCGCAGTCTACACTCGCAAAGGCTGAAGTCAAGTACCCGGGCACAGTGTCGCAGTGTCGTAGCTCTACCACTAAATTCTCACCTTGTAAACATAGGGGTGCTGGTTCCTGTCCTGGCTGCTCCACTTCCCATCCAGCTCCCTGCTTGTGGCCTGGAAAAGCAGTCGAGGATGGCCCAAAGCCTTGGGACCCTGCACCCGCGTGGGAGACCTGGAAGAGGCTGCTGGCTTCAGCTTAGCTCAGTTCCAGCCATTGTGACCACTTGGGGAGTGAATCAACAGATGGCAGATCTTCCTCTCTGTATCTCTGACTTCTCCCTTAAAAAAAAAAAAATCTTTAAAAAAATTAAATCTTGGGCCCGGCGCGGTGGCGCAAGTGGTTAAAGGTCCTCGCCTTGCACGCCCGGGATCCCACATGGGCGCTGGTTCTAATCCCGGCAGCCCCGCTTCCCTTCCAGCTCCCTGCCTGGGAAAGCAGTCGAGGACGGCCCAAAGCTTTGGGACCCTGCACCCGCGTGGGAGACCCGGAAGAGGCTCCTGGCTTCGGATTGGCATAGCATCGGCCGTTGCGCTCACTTGGGGAGTGAATCATCGGAGGGAAGATCTTCCTCTCTGTGTCTCCTCTCTGTATATCCGCCTTTCCAATGAAAAAATAATAAAAATAAATCTTTAAAAAATAATAATAAATTAAAAAAATTAAAAAATTAAATCTTAAAAAAATAACTCATACACCTCCATGCCCTACTTCAGCCTGGCCCCACCCCCAGGATTTACTCTGGAAGAACCAAGTCTAAGAGCAGTAAACGAGGTGTGGTAGCGGCCAAGGGAGCATGCAGCTGAACACAAAGGCACTGGGCGAGACCACAGCACTGGCCCCAGGCCCTTCCCCTGGCCTGTTTCTAGGATCTCAGCAGCAATGTGGTGGTGCCAACATTCGTCCCGCCCCTCACCAAGCCCAAAAGGCAGTGAGCCCCCTTTAGGGGCAGTTTCCTGTTAGCTCTGTTTAATTCCTCATTCTTCAACATGGATAGAACACCAAAGAGCCAACCTTGAGGAAAATCTCCCCAAAATGCACAAACACATATGAAACAGAAGAAAATCCTCCATGAACAAACAAGAACTGAAATATAAAAATTCAATGCCAGTGGTGAGGGGATAAAGTTCTTAAAACTGCTACAGGGTAGAACAAAAGAGGGAGGAGGGAAGGAAGGAAAGGAGAAAGGAGCTGTAGGCGTGGCCCCACCATCCTCTAACAGACCACAAGACAACAGGACGAGGCAGGAGGCAGGCTGGGCCATGCGTGGCAGCACTGTGGTGCGTTGGAGGGTAAAGCCACAGCCTGCAATGCACCATCTCAAGTGGGCATCAGATTCTGTCGCTCCAGCTCCCTGCTAATGACCTTGGAGAAGCAGTGCAAGATGACCCAAGTGCTTGGGCTCCTGCCGCACACACAGGAGACTTATGTGCAGCTCCTGGCTTCAGGCTTTGGCCTGGCCCAGCCTGGCCATGGTGGCCATCTGGGGAGTGAACCAGCATATGGAAGCGCTCTCTTTCTTTGTAACTCTTAACAAATGAATGAATAAATCTTAGGAGAAAAAAAGTCAAGGATGGAAACAATGCAAGTAGGTACAAGCATTTGAGACAACTTCAACCAATATAGAGATGGAGAAAACTTGTAGGGATCATGCTAAGTGAGAAAGACAGCAGAGGCCAGCATGATTCTGGACACCACTACAGGGCTGGGTGAGACAAAGGTCAGTGAGCGGGGAGCTTTGTCCAGATTCACAGGAGGTTCAGAGTCCAGTGCTGTGGCACAGTGAGTTAAGCTGCAGCGCGCAGCACTGGTATCCCATATTGGAGTGCCAGTTCAAGTCCCTGCGACTCTGCTTCCAATTTAGCTTCCTGTTCACAGGCCCGGGGAAGACAGCAGATGATAATACGAGTACTTGAGTTCCCGCCATCCATGTGGGGCACCAGAACAGAATTCCTGACTCCTGTCTCTGGCTTGGCCCAGTGGTTGTGTGGCCAAGTGAAACAGTGGATGGAAAATTCTGTCATCTCCCCCTGCCACACATACGCAAAGTTCATGAGACACATGTGGAAGAACAACATGTGGGTTTCAAAAAACTTTTGGTACCTAAATAAACTTATTTCATTCTATTTTCCCATGAACTTTTTCAAGTACCCTTTCGTGAGTACACAGCCTTGCTGAGTGATGTTCACTGCAAAATTGACTGCGTGGGGGAGGAGTGTGCACGAATAATGGAGAAAACAGCTTTATAAACCAACAAACTTAATTACCACTGTGGGATATGGCTTCTGACTATTCTTCACTGCCTAGTTTTCTTATCTTCTCTTGCTGTGTCCCTGGAGTCTGTCCTTCTGGGTCCTTCTTCTGGGGTTTTGCTCACTTCAGCCTGGTCTTCTTCCACAACCGTCCACTGCTGCCTTTCACCCAGGGGTGATTCTCCACTTCTCTCACTGCTCATCCTCCCACACCTCACACTCCAAACCAAGTCTCGGGTGAAATCTTTCTACCCCATCCAAACCTGTTTGCCAAACATTATCCTACAAGCTTCTTAGTTGTTCCCCCAAGAAACCAATGTCTGATTTTCCCTCCCCGTAGCACAGTGTCTTGTCCCTCCAAGTGTTCTCCTCAGCACCATCATGCTGCGTCAGGGCTCCTGGCCTCCACCTTTCCTGAGCAGAAACTCCTTTTCATTTATTCCCTCTCCTTTCGACCGCATCAATAAAGTCTGGCTTGGTTCTGGCCGCTGCTCTGTGCCTTTTCCTGCTTCCCTCTCCGCGTGTCTCTCTTCCTTTGTTAGCTTCGTTCTCACTCACTAGCGTTTTCAACATCTCCGTCTTTTCTCCTCCACAGAAACCAAGTCATGACTAAGTCTCTTTCACTTCCGCGGAGGCATCCTCCTCAGCTTGCGCCCCTTCCACAGTCCACTTGAGGTCTTCAACGCTCTTCGCACTTCCAGAAGGAATCTCCACGTCTTCTTTAGTGATTTTGGTCGCTCTTTCACCTGGCTCTTCATATATGCTCTCAGCTTGAGAGTCCTCCAATGTCTCTCCACTCAACCTCAACCTCTCTCCACTCAGCCTCAACCTCTCTCCACTCAGCCTCAACCTCTCTCCACTCAACCTCAGCTTCTCTCCACTTGACCCCCGTCTATCTCCTGGGGACACCGGGTTTTCTTTTTCTCCTTCACTCAACCTCAGCTTCTCTGCACTCAGCCTCAGCTTCTTTCCATTCAATATCCATCTCTCTTCTGGGGACACCAGACTTTCTCCTTCACTCAATCTCAGCTTCTCACCACTTGACCCCTGAGTCTTTCTTCTTGATACCACACTGTCTGCACTTGACCTTGCCTCTCCAATGGACCTTAGCCTCTCTTCACTGGAACTGCGTGTGTCTTTTCTGGACATATGGCTACCTGTGCTTGCCTTCCGCCCCTCACTTGCCCTCCTCTCCCCACTTGCCCTCCGCCCGTCACTTGCCCTACGCCCCTCACTTGCCCTACGCCCATCACTTGCCCTCCTCTCCCCACTTGCCCTACGCCCCTCACTTGCCCTCCGCCCCTCACTTGCCCTCCGCCCCTCACTTGCCCTACGCCCGTCACTTGCCCTCCTCTCCCCACTTGCCCTCCTCCCCTCACTTGCCCTACGCCCCTCACTTGCCCTACGCCCCTCACTTGCCCTTCTCTCCCCATTTGCCCTCTGCCCTTCACTTGCCCTACGCCCCTCACTTGCTCTTCTCTCCCCATTTGCCCTCTGTCCCTCACTTGCCCTCCTCTCCCCACTTGTCCTCCTCTCCCCATTTGCCCTCCACTCTTTCTCATTCGGTCCAATTTTAGAGTCTTCGGATCTCATGTCTTCACCACTGGTCCTCATCCTATCCTCAGTGGCCCTCAACCTCTCCTCAAACCCAGACTCCCTGCGAGCCCCGACTGATAGCCGAGGGGCGCGCTTGGACTCCACTTCTGCTTTAGGTGGGACCTCCTGCTTTCCGCGTATGGGACTGCCTTTGTGCAGGGGACTCGCTAAGCCACGCAGGAGCTTCCTGTTCATCCTCTCGGGACTGCGACCTGTCTTCCCACGCTCCGCTCTCCAGTCCTCCTCAGGCGGAAGCTTCTGGAACCCCATCCTGGGCTGGAGCGTGTTTCTACCCAGCAACTCCACCTTCTTCCCGATCACGATGAGTCCGTTCCAGGGAACACACGGTTTATCGCTCGGCTGTGGCCTCTGTGCCCTCTTCCCACACCACTCATGAGGAAAACGCCAGCGGAAGGCAGCCTGGCAGTGGGCCCTGTCGCCCCTCCTCACCTCCCTACACTGCTTCCCGCGGCGCTCCTTCAAACTCTGACGAGAAAACCCCAACGGAAGCCCTCTCTTCACAGACATGGCCCCTCGTCCTGGCCCCAGGTCCATCCCCCCAACCCCGGCTCCCCATTCCCCCTACCCTCGCCCATCCCCGCCGCCCCCGCCCACCGCCCACCGCCCGCTGAGGAGCCAGGCCGGGGCTGGCGCGCACGCGCAAGCCGCGCGTGGCCGTTGGGAGGAGGGCGCGAGTAGAGTGGAGCAGAACGACAGGCGTCACAGCCAATGGCGTCGCAAGCTCTAGACCTGGCGCCCAATCAAAACGCGCGGCTGAAGGAGTGCCCCGCCTGCCTCCAGGCGTGGACCCGCGTGGCGGGACCCGGGTCCCTTGTCGGCTGGTTGGAAGTGGGCGGCTCCTGACTGGGTTGCGGGCAGGAGTCGGACGCCGAAGGGGACAAAAGTGAAGGCAGCTCATCGGGGGCCAGAAAAGGAGCACGAGGTCAGGGAAAGGATGGGGGCTCCTCCCGCGTGGGGCGTTCTCGCGGACGAGGGAGCAAGAGGATGAGGAGGAACTGCTGAGTCACGGGGCCGAGGGAAGCTGGGCTCGATCTTCGCCCCGACATCGGCCCTCCTCCCCGTCCTCGAGACCTGCTGGCCTGAGAGGAAGGGAAGGGCGCTAGGTTGGAGAGTGAGAAGGCACCTCTTTCTGTTTCTTTCTGTTTCAGGGACACAGAATTTTTTAAAAAAGAGTATTCTTATGTACATGCCTTAAATATGAACAGGTGTGTGTACTTGAGACAATGAGGAAAAAAAAGTTTGTATTAGTGCAAACAATGTATTAAAAATCCACTCATGGGGTCCGACACAGTAACCTAGTGACTAAATCCTCACTTTGCATGCACCAGGATCTCATATGGGCACTGGTTCTAGTTCCAGCTGCTCCACTTCCCTTCCAGCTCCCTGCCTGTGGCCTGGGAAAGCAGTCGAGGACGGCCCAAAGCCTTGGGACCCTGCACCCACATAGGAGACCTGGAAGAGGCTCCTGGCTCCTAATCAGCTCAGCTCTGCCTGTTGTGGCTATTTGGGGAGTGAAACAGCAGACAGAGATCTGTCTCTTTCTGTGTAAATCTGACTTTTCCAGTAATAAATATATATTTTTCTTTAAAGATTTGTTTTATTTTTATTGTAAAGTCAAATATACAGAGAGGAGGAGAGACAGAGAGGAAGATCTTCTGTCCGATGACTCACTCCTCAAATGAGCACAATGACCAGTACTGCGCCGATCAGAAGCCGGGAACCAGGAACCTCTTCAGATTTCCCGCACAGGTGCAGGGTCCCAAAGCTTTGGGCCGTCCTCGACTGCTTTCCCAGGCCACAGGCAGGGAGCTGGATGGGAACTGGAGCTGCCGGGATTAGAAGCAGCGCCCATATGGGATCCCAGCGCGTTCAAGGCGAGGACTTTAGCCGTTAGGCCATGCCGCCGGGCTCAATAAATCTTTTTTAAAAATAATAAACATGGTTTTATTTCTCCCACAACTTGCAAAAGGTGAACCTCCTGTGACTTTATTTCCAGGTAACTTCTTCATTAGGCCTCAACTCCCTTTTAAACAGCATGCTCTTGTTCCGGAAAGCTGTGAGCTTTTCATTGCTCCTCCTGTCCAGCTAGCATCCGAAGAGAAAGCCCACAGGGACAAGAAGATGCACCCGGTGGTCACGCACCAATGAAGTAAGTTTGCCATGACTCTGGCCCTGGTGCCAACAGCGACCCCGCGACCAAGGGCAGCTAGCTAGTGGCTGAATAAATAAATCTTTTTTTTTTTTAAATCTACTCATAGGGCCCAGTGCAGTGGCCTAGCGGCTAAAGTGCTTGCCTTGAGCTCACCGGGATCCCATATAGTCACTGGTTTCAGTCCCGGCAGCTCTACTTCCCATCCAGCTCCCTGCCTGTGGCCTGGGAAAGCAGTGGAGGATGGCCCAAAGCCTTGGGACCCTGTACCGTGTGGGAGACCTGGAGGAAGTTCCTGGCTCCTGGCTTTGGATTAGCGCAGCACCAGCCATGTGGTCACTTGGGGAGTGAATCATTGGACGGAAGATTTTCCTCTCTGTCTCTCCTCCTTTCTATATAGCTGACTTTCCAATAAAAATAAAATAAATCTTTAAAAAATCCACTCATGGCTTATCAGAGTATGTGTTTTCTTTGTTATAATTTGAAAGGCAGGGTAATAGAGTTTTTTTTTTTTTTAATTTTTTATTGGACATGCAGATTTACAGAGAAAAAGAGAGACATCTTTCATCTATGGGTTCACTTACCAATGGCCACAACGGCCAGAGCTGAGCCTTTCTGGAGCCAGGAACCTCTTCCGGGTCTCCCACGTGGGTGCAGGGTCCCAAGGCTTTGGGTTGTCCTCAACTGCTTTCCCAGGCCACAGGCAGGGAGCTGGATGGGAAGAGTAGCTGCCGGGATTAGAACTGGCGCCCATATGGGATCGCGGTGAGTTCAAGGCGAGGACTTTAGCTGCTAGGCCACTGGGCCCGGATTATGGTAATCTATCTCAGGATTTTTTTTTTCCCTCAGGAAAATTTAAAATAGTTAATTTCATAGTGTATATTTTTCAATAAAAGCAGACAGGAACACTACAAAAAAAGGAAAATTTTCTTTTAATATGAACATGGATGCAAACATGACAACCTGTCAGATTGAAGAAGCAATACATAAGCAGATAGTATTTCATAAGCAGGGCCTTCTTTCAGGAATACATAGTGGCTTAACAGGAAATCAACAAAATTCAGTGTGTGAACAGAATAACAGAAGTCATGTGCTTCTTCCACCCTGGGGGAGAAAAGTGACAAAAGTCGCCCTCTCTTGTGTCTTGGCCCGGCAAGGGAGCTCACTGATGTGCCAAGGAGCATCTGGGAAGCCTTCTGGAGGCAGAAAAAGCTCCTGTTGGTGTGTCCGCATCCCGGGTGGAGTGCCAGTGTGAGTGCCAGCCCTTCTCCAGCCGCGGAAGGTGGTCCAGCTGGGAGGCCTGCATCACATGCTGGTTTTCACCTGGCTCAGCCCTGACTGTTGGCAGACATGGGGACTGAATCGAAAGGAGCAAGATCTCTGTTTCTGCCTCTGCTTTCCAAATACAAATAAATAAACAGTTTTCCTGAAATGATAGTGTCTCTAGTGCCTAGGCTCAGCTCCCAGCAGCTGACTCCAGTTTCTTGCTAACGTGCATCCTGGCACGCAGCAGGGGAGCGCTCGAGGAGTAGATTCTAGCCACCTGTGTGGGAGACCTGAGTTGAGTTCCTGCCTGCTGGCCCCGGCTTGGCCCCGGCTTGCTCCTTGCAGACTTCTGGAGGAATGAAGCAAAGCCCTGGTGGGAGACACTCTTATTCTATGTCTCTGCCTTTGAAAAAAAAATTAAATACCAAAATAAATCCCTCGAATAGGGGCAGGAGCTGTTAAGCCACCTCGGATACCTGCGTCGCCAGTGTCTGCGGTGGAGTCCCGCGTCTGCTGCTGAAGCAGCTCCGTGCTGGGGTGCCTGGGTTCAGGCACATGGGCTCCTGCAGCCCACACGGGACACCTGGGCGGAGGCTCAGGTTCCTGGATTCAGCCTGGCTGTGAGGGTATTCGGGTTGTGAACGAGCAGACAGAAGATTCTGTCTCTTCTCTCTTCATCTTTCTGTCACAGGAACACTCTGCGAGGGCAGCCCAGCCGGGCACGTGAATGTGTTTTCTCTCTCACTGTTGAATCCTGCTCCTATTTGTGTACTTCATAAATGTCTACACTTGCAATTTTTACCTTTGTCTGAGACATGGGCTTGGAATAAAATTATTATCTACATGTGCCAATACCCACCCCCTAATTGCCCTAGGACTAGGGTCTGGCATTGTGCAACGGCTGAGGCCGCTGCCTATAATGCCAGTGTCCCATGCAGGCACTGGTTCAAGTCTCAGCGGTTCCACTTCCAGTCACCTGCCTGCCACGTACCAGGGAAGGCAGCAGCCGATGCCAGCCCCTAGGAATGAGCCAAGTGACCGTTACCCGTGCAGTGGGTACATCGGTTATGACCTACAGGTATTATCACATGAAGTTCAAGAACAGGCAA